ATAAAGCCCTAGTTCGAACTACCTGCTGTTGCTCCTGGAATGAGGTTTAACAGGTAGTTTGAACTAGGGCTTTATTTCGGACTACTGGGTCCCTGCCACGTGTAGACGCAGGCAGTTAGTCCGGACTTGTAAATTTCAAAAAGTGGTGACCAGCTGGGAAGATGCAAATCAAGCGCGGGATATTTAAATTCCAGGCTTGATTTGCAGCTTTGAATGCTTACATTAGCCTCCCTAGTTCAAACTAGGGAGCTAGTATAGACATACCCTCAGAGAGGCAGCAAAGTGGGGAGGAGCTGGAGCTAGTACTGGAGGGAACTGGCTTTAAGCAGTCTCCCCTCCCCCCCCCCCCCAAACCACAGCTTCTTTGGGGCGCAGGCCCCCCCCCCCCCCCCCCCCCCCCAAAGCACTGTCTCTTTGGGTAGCAGGGGAAGCAGAGGCACCACAGGAAAACAGCACAAGCAGGGACTGCTTCCCCACTGGTGCTGGTTCCCACTGCTGGCACTTCTGCTTTTGAAATGTACAAGAGCCCCCCCCCGGGACTCTTGTACATTTCAAAAGCACAAGTGTCACAGGGAGCATGGGGTGAGCAGGAACTCAGTCCCTGCTTGTCCTGTGCTTTCTGTGCGCCCCCCCCCCCCCCCTTGCTGCCTCTGAGGCAGCAAGTTGGGGGGAAGGGGGACAGGAGCTGGTGCTGGGGGAGCCATCTTAAAAGCCTGTTCTCCCCCCCCCAACACCGTCTCAGTGGTACCGCCTGTGCCCCCTCACTGCCTCCATAAGAGGCAGCGGGATGGTGGGGGGAGATAGGGGACACTGCTGGGAAGCGGCTCCTGTCTGCAGAGGTCCCAGAAGGGAACTGTGCCCCCCATGAACAGGGACTGTTGCCACAAAGTAGCCCCTGTTTGCGGTAGCCAGGGCTGGCCACAGACCGGGGCTGGTGCCTGAGCAGTCCCTATCCATGGCTAGCCCTTGCTTTCTCGAACAGGGGCTGCTGGGCTCAGCGTGAGCCAGGACTGAGCATTCCTTGCTCGTGCTGATTGATTGCTTGCACCTCTGCATTTTAAATGTAGTAAAAGCTCAGTGGCTCTTACTACATTTAAAATGCAGAGCAGCAGTGTGGGTGGCTCCAAATTGTATTGACTATGTGATTAGCCAGATAATCTCGTTAATATCCTTAGTAGCTCATTTAAGTTAATTGGGGCACTTGTGAGGGGGGGGGGGGGATTAAACCTCTGGCGAATAGTACAGTTTAACAGCAATGCGTAGTTTAGTTTCTCCTTTTCTTTTCTCTTCCTTTGCAAACTGGGGCACTACATTTGTCAAGAGATTAATTTTTAATCACCTGTCTAGCATTTGCATTTTATGATTTAAGTTCAACTTTTAAAAGCTATTTAGCTTGTTAGAGATTACTCCATTTATCAGTGGGGCCGAAGCACCTTAAACTCACTCTTCACAGATGCAGAATAAGACAGCCAACCTAGATGTCATATTTAAATTCCAGGGCAAAAAAAGAATCCGCATGGAACTTTGTTTGCACTGTGTTTCTTTAATGAAAATTCAAACACTATTGTTTGCCAGGCTGAAGCAATTATTCTGAGAGATGAGTCTCTCTCTTATTGTTTTTAACTTCTCATATTTGTAGTCAGGGACAGACTTGAATTTTTAGAACTAAAAAAATGATGATCTACAAAAGGAAAAAGGGGGGGCGGGGGGAGGAAACCATACCAGGGATCAACAAGCTGGATTGAAACACGCATTTCAAATTGTGCTAATTTACTTCTCAGTTCAGTTTAATTTTAAAAAGCCCACAGGACATAATAGAGCAGTAGTGTTAAATTTAAAATACATGGTGGGGATGCTTTTTTAAGTATGAGAATATTACTGTATTTTTAAATTTGATGTTTGTTTCTTGTCAAGTTCTCTGAAGATCTATGGACTGGCCGTGAATTTTTTAAGTGACTAGAGACTTTTTTTATTGGTTTTTGTCTGAAATGTTCTGTAATGTTGTTTTTATCACTACATTTTGTGTATTATATCCATCTTCTTATAAAAAATATGTGGCTCTTTGCACTCTATCCACCTTTATTTTGGCTTTCGTGTCTTAGTTGGCCACCCCTGATCTAGATGGTGCTTGGTCCTGTCGTGAGGACTGGACTCGATCTCTCAAGGTCCCTTCCAGTTCTAGTGTTCTATTATTCTATGAAGTGGAGCCCGGAGCCAGCGGTGGACTCTCTGATTTCCCCCACTGCCCCTGGGCACCGCACAGTGTTTCAATATTTGAAATGCACAAGAGACCCTGCTGGGACTCTTTTACATTTTAAAGGCGGCATGCTGTGCGATACTTCCATCTTTGAAATGTAGTAACAGCCGGGCGAGCTCTTGCTACATTTCATAGCAGAAGCACCCTTATTGACTATTGAATAGTCAATGGAAATTCCATCAACTAGTTGAATCTAATTTTAACATCCCTAGGATAATTTGTTGCTTGGTGTGTGAAAAAGCCATGCCATAAACAACACAAATTATACTGATCTAAGTGCTGGTGTGGACAGTGCTATGTCATGAAGAGAGCTTCTCTCTCGCATGTGGGGGTCTGGAGTAATTAACCCAGTGTGGCTGACAGACTTCTGTGGGCAAAGTGAGGAAGAGGGGGTAGCCTCTGGGCCACTAGAAGAGGCAGAGCATGGGCAGAAGTTAGCCTCCCTCAGCAGATGTTCAGTGCTGTATGCTGCCTAGGGCTCCAGTGGTGATTTAAAGGTCCCAGAGCTCTGGTTGCTGCTGCGGCAGCAGCTAGGAGCGCTAGGCCCTTTTAAATCATTGAGCGCTGGGCCAACTGTTCCCTTCTCCCCTACATCCCTTGCCTGTCATTGGTGGGCCTGAATTAAATCTTAAAGCTCTTTTCTTTCACGTTAGAGCAGCTACTTTTGAGAGTTTAGTGGCTCAGATGTTAGTCAAGCTGTGCCATGGTAAGCTGTCTAGTGTAGCTGTAGCCTGAGAGTTGAGTGTTGACGGAGCATTATTGATCAGAGCAATGCCATCTGCAATATTGACAGGGTGTGAGGGATCAGTTCATTTGACGCAGGAGATAATTGCTGCTGCTTTGCACTGCAGGGCTGGAAATGAGAATCTTGGACTACTGGGGAAGAATTTCCCAAACTAGTTTGTGGACTATATTTGGTGATGGCAGGGAAGAGTTAACTTGGGCTGGGCAATAATTTTTGATAGGGTGCCACTGTAAGAATTTGGAAAGTAGTCAAGGGCTGCATGCTTGCATGTTATTAATGGCGGAGGTGCAGGTTCTGGGATTGGAGATTGGGTGCAGAAGGGAGCTTGGGGTGAAGGAGGCAGTTATGATCTGGGGCACTGGACTGCGGTGGAGGGGGTTGGATGGCGACCTAGGGCAGGGAATTGGGGTACAGGAGGGGATGATGGGATTTGGGTTGGTGAGCTAGGGCAAGAGGGGACTGTGATCTGGGGCAGAGGATTGGGATACTGGATCTGGGAGGGGATATGGGTACAGGAAGGGGACCAAGGATTTGAGTATGTGGAGTAGGGGACAGGAGTGGGGGGCAGAGGGTTGGGCAAGCGAGGGAGTGGGGTGCCAGAGGCAGGATCTGGGCAGGAGACTTACCAGCCAGTAGCTGTTCCTGAATCAGCCTCCCTGCCTCCACACAGGCTGCAGCCATGTGCTTTGGAGAAACTGGCCAGTGGGATTGTGCTGGGGGTAGGAGCAGCTCCTAAAGCTTTCGCCCCTCCCCTCTGGACTCAGTTTTTAAAGAAAAACCACCCTGCAGCTGCATTTCTGAGCAGCATGGGGCGAGTCACGTGGGAAGCCTGCCTGGGGTTCCTCACAGTGTCTGTGGGCCAGATGGTCACTAATTGCTGCTTCCCCCCTTCCCTCCCCCAACTACTAAAGAATGGTCTGATAAAGAAAATCTGTCTCTGAAAATAGCTTAAGTAAATATTCGGCACAAAATGAGAGGGCTCTAGGGCAGTGGTTCCCAACCTGGGGTTCGCGGACCTGTGATGGTACTGTAGGGGGGTCCATGGAAAGCTGAGGAAAGGAAAAGTGAGGATCAAGCCCACCGTGGGACTGGGACTGCCCGTCAGCTGACTTTTCCTTGGGGTTTGCTGTTTGCAACCAGCTGCATGCACGCTGCCTCCTGCCCTTGGGATGGGATCTTGATACCCCAGGAGGCACCATGCATCTTCCTGTTGCCAGCTGCACTGCCGTTTATGCTCCAGCTCTCTCCCTCCTCCCAGTCCTGTGGTGGGTCTGAATCTTACTTTTTTTTTTTTTTCTTCAGGGTTCTGTGCGTGGCCACGGGCAGAGTGCCAGGGCAGAAGCTGCCTTTGGCCGTAAGAGCCCTCTCTCCATATCCTCCGTGGAGGGGGTGGGAGCTGAGGAAGCAGTGTGGGCCAAGGGGCGTGCTGGCCACCTCTGGGTCTGTAAAATTGTAACAGATTGGAAAGGGATCCATATGCTTGAAAAGGTTGGGAGCCACTGTTCTAGGATAATTCATAAAAAATTAAGAAAATCCAAGAGGTGTTTTTTAGATACTGCCAAACTGAGTATACGGTTTGAATGTACAAATAGAACTCCTAATCATGGACAGTTTTTTTTAATGAAAGATTTGAGAAATACTAAAATATATTATTTAGGAGCAAATGTTATGCCTGTTGTGTGTGTGTGTGCACACCTTTATTTTTTTAAAGTACAGTGTGTTTTGGGTTTTTTTAAAGTTTGAGTAAATGGAAGATGTGTGTGCTGGAAACTTTCAAAGCAATAAATGTTCAGAGCTAGAAAAATCAAACTGTAGCTGAATTAAAGGGTTTTGCAGAAACCCCTTCATAGTAATTCAGATGTTTTGCTGCATCCTTTGAGATAAATAATTGAAGCTTTTTTAAAAGAAAGTATTTGCTAAATCAGTATATATAATTAACTGTTTATAAGCATATTATTGGACACCTACTTGACTGTATTGATGTTTTGTACTTCAAAGGTGCATTTGAACTTCTTGCTGTTTCTCCAGCGATTAGCAGAAGAAGCCAGGGCCAATGCTTTCAAGAACAAGAGTAAAACAATTAAATCTGAACATACTATAGCAGCAGCAAAGGTAGTAAGTTGAAATTTTTCTCCCTTTTTTTTGTTTAAACACTCAATATTTATGCAACTGTATTCACACTTTTGTTACCATTTAAAAAAGCCAGAATTCACAACAGTAAATATTCCTAGAGAAATGCTATATTTGCCATGTTTTTTATTTATAAACAAAACATTAAAAAAAGCCCTTAGTCCTCTGGGCACTGCAATAACAAATCACAGTGCTATAAAATCTACTACAATAACATCAAAAAAACTGCCAGCACATCAACATACTCCCCATCTCTTCTCATAACCTCAAATTTAAAAATCTTCTTCCAAAATGAAGATAATTTCCCTGCCCTTCAGTTTCTCATTGTGGGGAGCAATGAAAATCTGGACTCTTTGTGACCAGCAATGGGATCCTGTTCCATATTGGAGGGGTGTTTGTGGAAAATGCTACTGTACCAAAGGAGCTGTAAGTTGAGTAGCTCTGTTGATCTTAACTACAACAATACATGTAGGTCTGTTGCCACTGGGAGAGGTGAGGAATAACATCTTGAGCCCAAGATGTGAAGGTGGTCTGAGAGTGCTTCAGAAGTAGGTATTCTTAAACTGCTTCTTGCTGTTTCACACAAATATCAGCAGAGGGCATCTCCTTTCAGTCCTAGACCTCCACTTTTTGTTTCCCGGGACTCTGCCCTGTTTTATTTAGGCAAGAGAAGCACTGCATGGAGTGTGGGAGAGAAATACTTGGATGGGCTAGGCCGCATCAAAAACAGTTTCTTTTAGTTGCTGAGTCATCTTTGCTTCTACTTGAATAGGGCTGGATAAAATGGAAAATTATGCCATTTGACTTTACTAGATTGGAGGCCATGTATCCCATGCTTACTAAATCTTCTAGTCCTATATTTCCTGTAAAATTTTATCTGGATATATTTAATACAAAATATAGGAGGTTTGTTGTGTGCCATGTTAAATATTGCAGTTAGAATCTTGTGCATTTGCAATCTGTGCAATTTTAACATTATTTAAATCTGTTCTTTTCTATTTTTTAAATGAAAAGATGGAAAAAGAAGAAATTATCTTGTTTTAATAATGTTAACATCGAAATAGTCCCAATAGGGCTGAGAAGTTAATTTCTCAATTTTAAACTCTAAACCAAAAAATGTCCATCCAGCACTCTTGGTGCCTTTTGCATAATTTTTTAAAAAAAGCTCAATGTGAAGCATTACGAACAAAAATCAAGCCACAACAGCAATACAATCACATTTTATAACTTCTTGTGCTGTCTAGATATAATGGGATGAGAGCATTAAGGAATGTGGTGAGAATGTTGAAGAACAATTGAGACTTCTGGGTGGCCTCTAGAAAACATTTGTTTTAGAAAGTTTTGCTTTTAAAGTTCCATTTTGTCTAAAGTATGTTCTCCGATATGAATTTCAATATAACGGATTTTGTTTGACTCTGAATGGGCATATAAGTAATGATGAGTATACTTTCTTTCACAGGTTATCTTAAAGAAGAGCAGAGGCTAGGAAATCAAGAGCAGAGGCTAGGAAATCTAATCCCACTTGCTTTACCCAGTGTATTTTATTATCTTTTCAAGTATTGTGATTAAGATCCTCAGTTGGTATAAATATGCATAATTTCATTGAAGTCTGTAGAGCTACACTTCTTTACCTTTGTTGAGGACTTGGGCTTATGTTCTTAAACATCCATGTTTTTATGAGATTTGTACATGTATCTCTTACCAAAGCCATGAGGCAAACGCTTGTGGTAGAGGTATTTTTTTAAATAATGTAAGTTTAGTTGCACCTTCCACTAAAACACTGGGAAAAACCTATAGCATTTCCCTTCCATGCATTTACTGATGTCATAGTCTTAATTAGACAGTATTTCTTATTAATCACTCAGACAGATGTATGAAGGTGTTTACTCTGCATGTCAGTTGAGTTCTTGTTATGTAGACAAAATGTTGTCTTAAAGAAGTCTGACAGTGTTGTATCAAATCTTAGTTTCAGATTCTGAAATAAGACATTTATAAACATAATTCTTGAAATAATTTTAAAGAACAGCACAAGTTGCTTGAATAAAACTTAATATTTTTATTAGTGCACTAACTTTCCCAAAATTGCTCCATTGGCTTTCCAGTGGTATATGTCAAATGAGCAGCTGATCTTAAGCTTGTGGACAGGAGCACTTCAAAAACTGATACCAATTGCTATTGTTGAATTAGACCTAAAAGAGGCATCAAGAGATCAGCTATGCATAGATACTATGTCTGTTTGAACCTGTGGTGTGTGGACATGTATATATTTTACACATATAGCACATCAGTGTCAAATGTCTAGCATTCTTATGAAATTAAACTTTTAAAAATGTAAACTTGCATCTTATTCTTTTGTGCAATGACACTTTGTTCTTTGGTGTTTTGTCATTTGCGTAACACTAGTTACATGAATATGCAAATAAACTGTTTCTGGTCCACAAGCCCACTTACCCATGGACTCTGTCTTGTCACTTCACATTCCTCTACCTCCAACGCCAGAACCCTCCAACCCCATCCAGCCAACCCTGGTACTTTGTGTGTCTATTATTTAACCTGCCAAACCCATCTGATATCCCCTGTATCCCACTTACCCCATTACCTCACAATTCTGTCTTGCCAAGCCTGTCACCCCAGTGCCCATCATCTCCTGCTTCCCAATATCCCCTACTGCCAGCTTCCTTTTGTCAGCCACCCCTGTCTTGCCTGGAGCCTGTCTGCATCTGCTGTCACTACCAGCCTTGGCACACTGTGTCCCAGTGACCCCAACTTAAATTGACAACCTCCCATCTCTCCAGATCCTGCCCCACTCTCCCTGGTGCCCCTTGCTCCACAAACTCCATCACTGCCTATTGTGCCAATCCCTGATCCTGACCCAGCAACTGCCTGTTCCACAAGCTCTGAGGCCCCCGACCCTACTCGGACACCCTCAAATCTGCTGCCTTTTGAGACAAAAGCATAAGCTGCGCCCACACCTATCTCCATAACCACTGACCCATTGCAACCCACTCCCTCTTGCCCTTTGACCTCTAATCCCTGCCCTGGCCTACCCCTCTTCACTCTTAGCCCCAACTCAGCCCCTTGTTCCTCAGTGCCTAACACCCTTTGACTCCCACCCCTATATCCTGTACCCATTGGCCCTTTAACCTCTGACCCCTACAGCGCATGCCAATACCCTTGTGACCCCACCACACCTTCACCCAACACCCCTTTGATCCTACTGCACTCCCCAGAGCAAAGCTGCTCCCTCTAGGGCAGTGGTCCCCAACGGGGTGCCCGCGGGTGCCATGGCGCCCACCGGGGCACTTATGTGCACCCGCCAGGTGCCGGCTCTAGGCACCAGCAAACCAAGCACATGCTTGGCGTGGCACATTGCCAGGGGCAGCATTCTGGCCGCCCCTGAGAGAGGCAGGGGAACTCCTGAATTCCTAACCCTTACCGGCCCCGGGTGCAAGGGCATCCCTGCCCCTGGCGTGCCCCAGGACGCGCGGCTCCGCCCCCGGGTGCCCGGCGCATGAGTGGCCCCACTCCCCGGGCGCCCGGCACATGAGTGGTCCCACCCCCAGGCACCCGGGAGCCTCTATAGGTTGGGGACCACTGCTCTAGGGAGTGTTGCTGTTACTGCCATGTGAGCAGGGGGGAGTAGTCTTTGGCTGTGCATGTGTTCCCTCCTCCTTCGCACCCCAGTCAGCTCAGCTGGGCTGCTATCTTACCTGGTGGGTGGGGAGGGAGAGACACAGACCGCTGCTGCTGCCTCATCCCCAGCACTGCTGCTGAGAAAAATCAACTTCTACAGCTGCTGGAGCTGAAACTGGCTGCTGTGCAGCTGTGCCGCCGCGAACAGTCAGCTTCAGTTCCAGTGGCACCAGTCTGTGGATCAGCAGTTGGGAACCGCTACCTTGGACTTGATGGAAAAGGTCTATGTCAAAACAAAATTTTCTAGAATTTTGTCAGTTGCACATATCTGTCCTGATGGGCAAGACTTCCTTGGATGCTGTTCAGAAGATGATGGTTATTTGCAAAATTAGTGCAACTGAATCGTTGGCTAAACCCTACGTATTAGCAAATTTTGGTACTCTGTTGTATAGTTAAGTTTTTAGAGTAAACTGCATCTTTTTTAGAAAGGATTGTCAGGCAGAAATGGTACAAAGTATTGCATGATGCTATATTAATACTTTTTGTACATTATATATTTTTGTGGTGGTTGAGGATTTATACGAACATGTTACTGGAAGTGTTAAGGTTACAGAAACATTGACAATGACATTTCCTACTTTTTGAATGCTTAGTTGTACAACTATCTTTCCATACATCAGTATTTTAAGAGAATGTAGTTTCCTAGAGTTTTGTAGAAGCTAGATTTTTCACTTTCTAGAGTCTAGCTTTTGAAGCACTGCTGGCTTGCATATACTGCTAGTGATCCATGGAAATTCTATATATCTGGCACTGAAAGAACTTGCTTAGGTTCTGTGTCCTCCCTAATATGTAGGGGACAGAAAGAAACCATTCTTATAAAGCTTAGGAGCTTCTCTGACAAGAAGAAAAGGCAACACTCCACTTGCCATTTTTTACCTTCTGAAGCACTGGTCAGTGTTCCACGTTACTATCAATATCTCAACGCAAAGAACCTTACCCCACACCCAAAGATCCCAGAAAAGATATAGTGTATATATATATTTTTAAAGTGAGTACTAAAATACATCACAAAAGAAACAAAATACACCATGCCCTCAAAAATCCCTGCAAATCCTGAGAAGAGAATTGTGCAAGAATCCTGTAAGAATATATTTTTAAGGGGGAAGGCTGAAAGTTAAGTAATTATTTTTTTCCTTCTTTAAAGGCAACCTTAAATGGGATTTTTTTTTCCAGTCATAGAGTGTAAGTACCTTGGGAAGTTGCATACTGAGTATTCCTATATTTTAGCACAAGACTTTTTTCCTACACACATTTTCCTGGAACTTGCAAGGGCTTAGGCCTCAGATTCTAAGGATCCTGTAAATAGTCACTGATCTGCTCTGCGTGTACTCAGTCCTTCCCTTCCCAATTGCATTAGGAAAGAACAGAGGTCACCATTCCAGTGCTTCAGAGCACAAGCAATTATTACCAACTGTACAAGTGCACTGAACTAAGCTTAGGGGCTGGGATAGGGCACTGTGTCTGTCATTACTTCACAGACATTTTGCTTGGCAAGTGCTGTATTGGTTCATTAACAAATTTATTACAAGATTTAAAAAAGAACATGCAGGTACTTTAGACATTTTATTTTTGTATGTACGAGTATTAGCATTTCTTGACTGATTGAATTGAGTAATATTTTCTAACACTTTAAATAGAATTTCAGATAGTTCTAAACTCTGCCAAGTGTCTGAACAGTATATTATTGATCTTATGCTTTGATTGTCTTCCCATTCTAGTCCAAACTTGTATCTGTTCACATTTAGGCCTTAGGCTATGATCCAAAAACCACAGATTGTCCCACTGAACTCAGTGACACTGATCATGCATAAAGTTATTTACATTTATGACTATTTGCACAAGTGAAGTCTTAAGTTTCAAATTCCACAATGCCTATTATGATGACTCCTTTCCCCCAGTGAGTGTGGGTATGAGAATTACTAATATATGAAAATACACTTCAGAAATGCACAAACTCATTTTTCAACATGTATGGAAGATCCTTTTCTAAACGTAAAGTGGGGATAGAGTGAAAATAGTCTTTGCCTTTGAGACATCTATTATAAGAAAATGTTTATTACTAGAATCATATGCTGAGACACTTCCAGAATTTTGAAGCTTACCACGTTTGGACTGCTGACAGATGAAGGGCAATTAAGCAGTCTTTAAAAAAAATTGTTCCTATCAAAAAATGGAGGAGCTTTGTTGATCATGACAGAAAAAAACTAAATGTGCTAAGCTTTGAAAGCATGTTGAAGATGTTGCATTTTTCAGGCTGCTGGAGTAGGTTCTGTGGTACTCCAAATTATTCAGCAGTTCATTTTGAACAATATAATCATGGTCAGAAGTATTCTATGTGTAGTTGTGTGTATTTATTTGCATATTTCCCATATAACAACTAACAGTGCAACATAGTAACTTAAGCAACTACTTTTGTTAGCATGACTTCATTTCTTTAATATTATGCTTGCAATCTTTCAGTAAAATATGTAAGAGAGCTGATAAGTTTCCCCCACATGGAAAGCATCACTAAGTTCTCTAGGGTTTGTTCACATTCACTTCACACAAGAATTTGTACTGAGGATTGTTTGCAATTGGTAGCCAATACTATAATGTTGATTAAAAACAATGAGGAGTCCTGTGGCACTTAAAGACTAATAAATGTATTTAGGCATAAATTTTTGTGGGCTGGAGCCCACTTTGAAGTTTACACTTCATGCAGCTGACAGTTTGACAGATATACACACACAAACCAGTGCTAAAACATAAAGGTCAATATTCTAGAACTTTAAATGGTATGTGAGACTTTTAAGTTATTCAGATTACTTAAAACTTTTAACACTATTCTAGTAATATATTGAATAATATTGGAATGTGGGCTGCTCTTCCTTTAATGTATGGTGGAGCTGTTCTTGGCCTATGTGCTAATGAGAAAAAACTAGGTTTCATCAGATTTCTTCTCCATATATCTGAGTAGTTGCCTCAAGCCTCACTACTCGGAAGAAGCTAGTCAGAAAAAAAATCTTTACTTAAATTGCTAAATAAAAACCTTTTTATTATTTGTATAACCATAATGCCTAGAAGTCCTATTCATTAGGGTGCATGTGGTAGGTATTATGTGAAGTCAGTCCCTGCCCCCAAGAAGCTTACAATCTAGGCATAAGAAAATAAACAAGGGATGAATACAGAAAAGATGGGGGTGTACCATGAGACAGTACTGGTTGGCATGACAGGCAGGCCTCAGCACACCAATAGCCTGACTTGTCCAGATTTATATAGGTATCAAATCAAAGAGTATTTTGAGGGCAATTTGAAAGTGGGTGATACGCTACCTTTGTAGTATGGGGAGCGTTTCCTAAGCGTGAAGGTGCGCTGCTTTCCCCTCCTCCCCCCCCCCCCCTGCAATTTAACAAGTGGCTGATGGAAATTGCCAAAATGGTAAAGCAAGGTACAATAGCAATTGAGAGAGAAAAGGTTGGATCGACCTACAGACAACTTATGTTTGATGTAATAAAAAAGGGGGTGTCAATGTAGAGATTTGAGGAGGGATGACATGGTCAAAACACCCAAAAGCTCACCTACCCGAAAATACTTGCCAGCTTTCTTCACCTCATGTAGCCTGAGATTACAGATCAGTTCCATCAGAGTTCATTCATATTATTTCAGGAATGTGTTGAAAGTAGCACATCAGTTTCTCTTCAGGCAATGTTCATCAGATGCACATTGGATAATGATATATAATATCTCTTCTGTTTGAATATTAATGTGA